ATGGAGTTATAGTCCAAATAGTCAGTCCTCCATATCAATGTGCTAGCCATCTGCAGAATGGAGGATCCGTGGATGGCTCCATTATTGTTAATGGCGGTGCACACACACAGCCGCACCATGCTTACATCATCACATGCATGTCACACCTCCATTGACTGTAATGGGACTTGACATCTCGCAATATCTGGTATTTTCAGGGAGTTCCAGAATGGAACCCACATGGATATGGAGCACTCACTGTATATCTTTTCTAAGCTCTGCCTTACATGCCTTTAGAGTACAAAATTATATTATTCCCCATCACAGCAGTAACACTGGCAGCGGCTAGATGGCACCAGAGCCATAAGCAAGCTACATTTGCTTTTGAAACTGGCTACACCAACTGCTTCTGCATATTTATATGGAAGTTAAGCTCTTAGTTCAAAACTACAGAATTTTAGTTAGCTAGCCAGGGACAGTTTGTTCTGAGCAAGCACCACTCGAATCTTAGGATGTTCTTGAGTGTTTAAACCCATACACAAGCCAGAGGAAAAACTACTTTAAGGTTTTTATTCCCTTTCCTGTCATCCCTGGCAAGAGTTTAGGCTTCCTTTGATCGTCGGGAACAAAGCAGGTTTTTTTCAGCAAAATATATAACTAAGGAAATGTTGGACACACATGTATATGAACTTGTGGATGAAAACAAGTAATTCATTCACCTAAAACTCTTTATTAAAACAAAATATTTTTGTCAAGTTATTTTGTATTGGAGTAACCATTTTGTATTTATTTGTGTATGTTGTATGCCTTCAAGTCATTTCTGACTTATGGCGAACCTATTATGGGATTTTCTTGACAAGATTTCTTCAGAGGAGGTTTACCATTTCCTTTCCCTGAGGCTGAGAGCATGTGACTTGCCCAAGATCACCCAGTGGGTTTCATTGCCAGGTTGAGAATTGAACTCTGGTCTCCAGAGTCATAGTCCAACACCCAAACCACTATGCCATGCTGTAGATTGAAGAAATAGGTTTTCAGCACAACTCCAAAATTAATCATCTTGCTTACTCCACCCAGAATCCCAGCATCCTTCAAATAATCTTTACAAATGGAGAATGCTTAATTCTCCTCAGAAGGCTCAAAGATATCCTTTAGTAGGGCAACTTGTTGCTCTTGGCCAACAAGGAGACATCCATGTCTATAAAGAAGCTACATAGGAGAAAACTTATAGAAAAACCCAAACTCAGTCTGTCAGTACTGCCAATACTAGTCAAGGTCTTAATAACATTGATTGTTGTTGTGGTTGTTACTACTACTACTACTACTACTACTACTACTACTACTATTACTACTACTAAAGGTAAAGTTGTCCCTGTAACATGAATGTCTAGTCATGACCAACCAGCAGCTTTATTTATATGCTGCCTTTTCCATAAAGCTGGGACACAAACAGTTTCAGTGCTGCTTAAGCTTCCTGATGAGGATTTCTTTTCTCCATACATGCCAGGGACAGTTACCATATTTGTGTCCATTGAATACAATTCCTTATTTCCTAGAAACTCACCAGGACAGCCATTGGAACTGGAATTGTTGCCTGCAAGTTACTTTTCTGCCACAAGGTCCAAACATGTATTTAAAATAAAAGCATGTGAGTCTCTCTGACAATGATGGCAAACCTTTTAGAGTCTGAGTACCTAAACTGCAACCCAAAACCCACTCATTTAATGCAAAGTGCTGTGTTGCTCTGGCTTTCTAGTAACTCTGGCAAACTCTATGCTGGAGTGACAGTACGCATGCCCACAGAGAGGACTCTGAGTGCCCCCTCTGGCACACGGGCCATAAGTTCCTCGCTACCACTCTATAAGATAATTTCAATGGGGGAAATTGTTTCACAGACCTGAAAACAGTTTCACAGACCTGGCTGCCTCTTGCAACCTCTGTTCACACTTCTAGTCTCCTGATGTTGTTTTTTATTAAACACAAATACAGCTAAGCCTTATTGTTTGCATGAGTGTTTAACTTCTAGTTTGCTCCTGAGTATGTAAAAAATCTAGTCTTCCATTCTGATTCCTGCTGTTCAAATGGTACATAATTGCATTCTTGGTTAACCTATGATAATGAACAATAGCACAAAAACAGGCCAAATCTGCAGCTCTATTGGAGCTCCCTAGCTGTCCAGCATGCATAGTTATGTTGATCCACAAAGATATGTGGAAGCTAGAAGCAAACTCCATCTTTCCTCATGGAAGATGCCGATACAAGCTCAGAGACAGTTTCCATTTTTATAACACCTGGAAAGGGACACTTTTTCATTCCTCATTGTATTCCTGTCTTTTTACTTCTCCGATTCTTGATGCTGAATTGTCAAAAACCAATGCTACTTGCACCATCTCATTCTACAAATTTAAAGCACCTAAGGACCATCATACTTGAATTTGCTCTAGTTTTCTTCGGCTTACTTCTTGATGTTAAAATAATCACTTGAACATAAAAGTTCTATTCAGAAGTGGTTCATATGAAACATACCAGCATCCAAAACCAACAAATCATGTTGTAGACCTTTTAAGGGATGCATTGTAGCATGCAGTTTTGTGGATTACAATCCATTTCATCAAATGAAAGAAGATTTTTAAACCTACATAACTGTTGGCTTCTCAGAAGTACTTCTGAGTCATAGAAGTGTCATGCTGGTAGCAGCCAAGCCTCTATTGCAGGGCAGAGGAAGAAGGATAGGCCAGCATGTGACAGTAACAATTCCACTGAAGCAGGAAAAGAACAAAGCATGGAACAGAATACATATTTCAGTACTTGTCTATCTGTATATCTGTATATCTATCTATCCATCTATCTATCTATCCATCCATCCATCCCACCATTCTGCCAAGATTGATGTTGTTGTTACATAGCGACTCTGTGAATGAGGCATCTTCAAGCCCTCCTATCGTCTACCTCTCTGCTCAAATGGCTCAGGCCCATGGCTGATTTGAGTCTATCCATCTGGCCTGCAGTCTGCCTCTCTTTCTATTCCCCTCTACCTTCCCCATCTTTATTATCTTTTCTAATGATTTGAAACTTTTCATGATGTGGCTGATGTATGATAGCCTCGATATGGTCATCTTGGCTTCCAGGAAGAGTACAAGTTTGATTTGATCTAGGACCCAATTGTTTGTCTTTTTGGCTTTCTTCTGCTTTTCTGCTTTCTTCACTGTCCATCCCTCACATCCATACATGGTAATGGGGAATGCAATGGCTTGGACGATTCTATCTTTAGTGTTCAGCTGTATAGCTTTATACTTTAGGATTTTGTCTACTTCTTTCATAGCTGTCCTTCCCATTCCTAGTCTTCTTCTGATTTATTGACTACACTCTCTGTTCTGATCAATGTTTGATCCAAGGTATGGGAAATCTTTAACTTAATCTGCCAAGATTACCATGTTTCTAGTCCTTAATTATGTGTGAGAGCTGTGTTTACTGAAATTAAAGAAGTTGTGGGAGGGATAAGTGGAAATGATTTCCAGAGATCAGAACAAAAGTGGGGAGCCTCTGATTTGGATGTCACTCCCAGAATCTAATGCCACTCATAATCCTAGGTGGGGCCAATGGGAAAGCCCAAAGTATCTGGACATCCAAAGTTTCGCCAACACCAGGTTACATGTGGGACTTCAGTAACAAAATAGCACAACTGGGATGGTTGGAGGGGGAATCATTTTAATATAATTACAGGCCTTCAAGCTGCTGTATGTTAAGTATGTGCTTTCTTCATTCTTTATGCTATCAAATGAAGACGCATTTAATTTTTCCACTTTTTTAATAGCACCAAATGATACAAATACATGAAGATGGTTCATGCAGTTCACAATTTTGAAGCCATTAGCAGAAGCTTTCTTCAGATAAGTAGTAAGTGAAGTGCAAAATATGGTTCAAGAAAAAATGGTTTATAATCTTGAAATGCATTTTACTATCACTTTTACAAATAATAAAAGGGGGGGAATCAGACATCTGGCTTCCTGTCTGTTTTACAAAGAAAAAGAGGAAAATTTGTATGAGAGGCATTTTGGTTAAATTATTTTTTTGAGTTAGGAATGTACGCGTAAGGAGGTGAATCCCAAATAAGGGCTGGCATCCTGTCTAATAGTCATGACTATATGCTGCATTTTCAACATTGTAGCTACTGATGATTCACATTCATAGTTAACAACTGAACATGACCCCAAAACCCTACCTTTTCACACTCCAATGGAAGTGCTACCAAGGCACTGCAGATGGAGCCACTAGGAAATAACATCTGCAGCACTCTCACAAAAGTGTTCAGACAAGCAACTGCAAAAAGACCCTAGGGGGATTTCTCCAGCTGCCTGTTCTCAGAATACCCTATAACTGGGAAAGCACTGCAGGAGTATTTTCATAGCATCCTGATGCACAGTTTCAGAAATCCTTTTGGTGAGTTGCTGTCAGACTGAAAAGGCAGGTTTGGGAAGGGAAGGCATCATCAAATCTTGGCCAAAGCTTAAATCTAATTGTTAGTCCCAACTAGATTCAAGGCGCTGAATCAATTACTAGAAGGAAGTGTAGAACTCATATGTGAACAATATAATTGGTAGGATCACCTATAAATTCAACAAACGTGCATGAATAAAGAGTCCTACAGAACTCAAAGGTGTACACATTTTGTGAATTTATAACTTTTCCTAATAATGATTGTTTGATTGCTCCATCATAAATGAACCCTTATATGCTTTTCATTGATTCAGCAGGCCTGTTCTACTTGAGACTGGCAATTAAGGTTAACTCAAAATTAGTTGCAATCCATCCCTACTGAAATCAATGTTATGCAAGTAAATCATGATAACTAAATTTATGCCACTGATTTCAAAGGGATTTCAGTACAATTCATTTTGTCCAAATCCATCCCATTGGGCTTCCAGATAAGTGGACTGGTTTTTGAAAACAGACTATATACTGAAATAATGTATAAAACATAGTACACTGAAATAAAAACAATGCCAATAATAATAACAACAACAAATATAGTCTGGTCCCTGCTTAACAGTGGCAATCCTATGTAGGTGGTCCAATACAAATTTCAACAGAAAGGTTATCTTTATCACTTGACTACATATATGCAAATTGCTTTTGATAGTAAGGATGCAGCTCTAAATACCAACAAGCTTAGCCATATTAGGGAAGGAAGGTACATAGAGGGGATTACGGCTGTCTCTCTGTATCACTCTAAATTAGTCATCTTCACCCCCACAGAGCATCAAGAGGCCTTTCCTGTAGTCGCCAGATGTATCTTTCTACAAATCAAAACACAGGCAGTAAGTCAGTTGTGACTCCAAGAAGTAGATCATTGACATACAACAGCTTTTACTTCCACCATGTAAAAACTATTTGTACAACCATCCTCTCAGAAACAGTAGATGGAAGTTATTTGTCAAGTCGATTATTTTCCATATTATATCAAAAAGCTGGAGAAGCAAACTGGAACCATCTA